TTATGGCTTTATTGCTTGTCCTTTGTATAGATTTAGGTTCTAGGAATCCATATATGTCAAAATTTTCCTTATCCATATACAATTCATGGAGAAATCTACGAAGTTTAAAAAAAGTTAGAAAAAATCAAAAAGTTAAAAAAAAAACACTAAAGAAATGTAGTGAGTTGTGATGATTGAGAGTTATGGTTGGATGTAAGATTTAGAAGTTTGGTGTTATTTGTTTAATTCTAAAAAATATCGCATAAACATGTCTCAATATTTAGGTCATTTCTCTCCATGTGAGTAATAACCAAATAGAGTTTCATTTGTTGAGTTAGAAAATAGACATTTAGAACTATAATTTATATTAAACAATCACATGAAAATGTTAAGAAATTATCAAATTATATGAATCACAAGATGAACCTTACATTTTATGGGCTAAAAGTAACATATGTAACTTGTAACCCTTGTGAGGACATTTAAATGACTAAAGTAAGTTTCATGGTATTCATTAAAGTCGTAGCCTTAGATGTTAGCTTTCTACACGTGTTACCAATTACCCAAAAAAATATGTTTAGAACTCAATTTATGATCAAATTAGTGAGTAAAGGACATGTTATTAGATTTAGACTTAAACACTATGATTATGTAATTTTAAAAATTAGTAATGGTAAAATCAACTTTTGAAGTCAACTTGATAGAATAGGTACATAAAATTAAGATTGACTTTAAAAAAAAGTTTTAGAAAATTAATGTAGTTATTTAATAAAATTAATATCAACTTTATAGCATAGGTACAACTCTAAATATCATGTTTAAACCACACCTGTCATAGAAGCTTAAGATAATAAGAGATAGTTTCTTAGTTGTAAGAGTAAGTCATTTTATCCTTTAAGTGTTTAATCTAGAGAATGATTTGAAATACTAATACCAATAGTTAAAAAAAATGTGAAGGGGATACTTTTGGATAAGTGGCGAGTGAGTTATGAAGGTGTGAAATTATGTTTGTAAGACTTTGTACTTAAAATTTCATGCCTATATGCGATATTAAACAGTAATGTATGGTGTGATATGAAATGTTGATGTTTAAATTGAGAGTGATGAGTGAAATATTTGAAACATTGGTGAATGATGAATGATGATGATGATGATATATTGGTGATGATATGACAAGTCATGTAAGTCTAGGTTGCGGTTTGGCAATGATAAAACCAAGTAGGATTTGGTATATTGTGAAGAAGTCCAAGCTATGATTTAGAGATGATGAAATCCAAGTAGGGCTTAGTGTATTATGTAAAAACCAAGTTGCGGTTTGGAAATGATGAAATCCAAGCAAGTCTTGGTATATTGTGGAAAAGTATAGGACTTCGGTTTGACAAAGTCATTGAGATGGTCATTGCATTGGTTGTAGTGTGGTGTTGGTCTGTGTATGGAGTCCTTGCATCACATATTTTCTTTGGTGGGGTAATGTGAATCTATATAGGAGGATCTCTATGATCATCTTCCTATACCTTAGGGCCGTGATGGTAGTGAGCCTCTAACAGGGGTGTGAGGTTACCATGAATGCTTGTAACACTTTGATTAGATCTCGTTAAATATCACTAGTTGAGAGTATCACCTAGTGTGTGGTGATCCGGTCCATAGCTCCCATATTTCCTTGTATTAGTGATGATGAGATTGGTACCACATGCATGTAGAGTTAAGAGCATACATCATACAAGTCTATTATATTTATGTTAAAGTTTATTTAGATTAAATGTATTGATGTGGTTAAGATGAATGTACTTTGAATGTTGGATATATTTATTGTTAATGTTTAGTTATGAACACTTGTTGTGTTAGTAATGCCTTTATGCCTTATATATTCTCACTCCTTTATATTTGTGTTGTTTGTTGTTTTTTTTTTACTGATTGACATATTATAGGAGTAGGATTGGTATATGAGGTCGAGCATGAGGGAAAAGAAGTTTAATGCTTTGGTGTTTGTTTTGAGATTTTGCTCTAATAGTGTGATATAGGGATTAGAGAACTTTCGTATTTTTATTTAGTTTTTGTTTTAGTTTAAAAAGGTTTTATTATGTTATATATTTCATTATAAAGGTTTTGTATGATGTTAGTTTGTTCCTTCATTTAAAAGCTCCTATTTTATTTATTTCATTTGATATTTTGAAGAGTTTTTAACATGTGAACACTTTTATAAAATGAATTTAAGTCAATCTTTTTATAATAAACTTTTAATTAAATGCATTTTCCTAATAAAAGGTTTATCGTAACTCTTTGGTGGTAGAAAAATGTCACATTTAGTGGTATTAGAGTAGGTCAATTCATTTGACCAATGAGTTATGTGTATTCCATTTTTTCCCAAGTGTGTTTCGTGAAAGTGTTGATGTGAAATGAAAAGCTTTAGTTTGTTTGTTTGTTTTGCCAATGGTCTGAACTAATCACCTTAATATGTTGTGCACTATAAATAGGGGACTTGCCAAGTCTAAAACATGTGACCATTGGCATTACCCCTAGCATTTTTTCACTACAACATTTTTTGAACAAAAAAATGTGGTTAGATGTGTAAATTCTATGGCCTGAAGTTTAAGTTATGGATTAGCCATATGTTTTGGAAAATGCGTTCTCAGTGGTCGTGGTATTTGCTCAAAGACCACGATTTTTTACTTTAGGCTACAATGCAAAGATAACTATGGCCTGAAATAATGAGATAGACCACACTATTTTTTGTGGTTGTATATTTAAGACCACGAATATTTGACTGTGGACAGATATAATAAACAATGGTTGAACAAGTATAAATCATTGTGCAAATTCTTTCTTAACCTTCATATCTTGATATAATTCTTGTTATTATTGATAAAAAGAATTTCAAGAAATTCAAGAAATTGTTTCTTTGAATGTTATCAATTGCTTATTCAAATTCTGATTATTGTATATGCAATTTGGTAATAAGTGAAAGAAAGTAATTACTAAAATTAATTTAGATTACAAGAATTTGTTCCACTGTGTAATAAATATGATATTGTGCATCTTTAAATGCATTGTAATTTGAATGTGATTAACTGAAATTGGTATATGAAAGTAAAGAATTAAAAAGAAAGTTCTTAAATACCATAGGAAGCCATCTAAGTGAAAAATCTATTCAACCCCCTTCTAGATTCGTATTCTACCGAGACCAACACTATGGACTATGACTATTGCAAATACTTGAGTCTTCTTGGTGGACTTGTTTCATCTTGCTCCCTTGTCTGGAGATGTATATGTTGGTGCATTGCAGATCAATGATGTTATTTATCAACTTTTAGGTACAAAATATAAGGAATTGCAATGTGTGTTAGTCCAAAACATCTTTTAGTTGACTTTGCGTACTTTGAAGGGTCTACTTGTCCCTTTTATAACGAAAGACACATCTCATCCTTTTGTTATTCATTCTTTGTACCAAAAAAGCTCTTATTTTTTCAATCTAAGGTATATTATGAAAACAAACTATAGGAATATCAAACATAATAAATACATTTATCTCAAACATATAATATAATTAGTATAGATGGACATGTATAATCCTTAGTTTAATACACTCTTACAAGCAATTTATAGTATTATCTTATAACATTGTCTTTTTGTGGTTTGACATAAACATTTATATTTGTTATGATTATAACATAATTTTTGAGGGATTCTAACTTTTCATTTGATCTTACACAAAAATTACAATAATAATAACAAAGTCTTAACTTAGAATTCCGTATATTTTATCATAACTCTCACTATTATGTTTAGGAAAATTCTACGGTACCCACAGGGTATCGGAACAGTCGTTTTTTTTAATATATATTTTTATTATAATTACTTTATTTTTATTTTTATTTTAATTTAATATTTTAATAATTTATCTTTATAAAAAATTTTATATCTTTATATTATTTTTATATTTTTAAATTTTTATCTTAATATAGCATTTATTATAATTAAATAGTTTAATATTAATATTTTGTTAATACATTTTAGCTTTTATTTGGAGTCTTAATTTT